GTAATGACTAAGAAGATGATTGATATTCTGACCCTAGTGGTCATATCAAATTGAGTCCGACTACGATGAGTTTGTTACATGGTTCGGAGAACCAAGTTCGATGTAGCATCTGACTTAAGCCGGAAGATTGAAATCAAAGCGATCAATTGTATCGCGCTCGTTGTTAAAGAAGTTAGTAGCTAGAAATTCTACATGCTAAAATGTGATTATATCACATTAGAATATGAAGGAAGGTATATTCCATTCTGGAATATGACTCTCAAAGACTTGAGTCTAGGCGTTGCATCATCCGATGAAAGGTCATTAGAACATGACTCATCGATCTGTTACAATAGATAAAGGAAAGTACTTATCCTAAGAAGAAGAAGGAGTCCTCAATAAGGATTTATTTTGTAACTTGAAGGTTACGATTGAGCGTCCAACATAGTACGAGGAGCAGGTTCAAGATTGAGCATCGCCTGCGGTCAAGAAGCCCAAGAGTTAGATACACGTTCGAAGAAACATATATATTACGGTTATTACTTAGTATGGAATCATTATACAAGCCCTATTTTCGTTGATGATTCTGGGACGTAATCATCCTAAGGGGGAGATAATTATAACGCCCGTAGATCCGGGCTAGTCAATTTAGAGACGATAAGCATCAAAAGTGACTTTTTGATAAAAGATTATTTAGAATGAATAATCTTAACTAAGTTGTAGTGGTCGTGACAAGGATTCCGGATATATAAAGAATGCCGAAATCCGAGTTATAACGAAGCAATTATGACCTGTCGAAGTTTCGTAACAAACCGGTACGAAACTGCGTGACATAAATAGTGAATTTACGATAGAGCGATATTTAGCCTTAGTGATCTAAACGAAAGTCGTAGAATACGTTAAGCCGAGAGCGTGCATAAAAAGAACGTCTAAATCTGACTTCGTATGAGGAAGTTATGATTTTCCTAAGTTTCAGCTTAGCAGTATGCACCCCAAAGTTCGAATATGAGATCGATTGGTTTCTAGCCGAAACAATCTAAACGAGAATCGAAGATCTCGTTGATCTCGTTGATAGTAATGCAACGGTAAAAAGACAGACGAAAACGGACGTCAGATGAAGAAGTTATGAAATTCTAACGAAGTTTTCCTGTCCCGGCCTACTAAAATTAATATAATAAACAAATAAAGTCAAAATTAGCCGACGAAGTCTAAACGAGAGTTGTAGAGCATAATCTCACCTACGTGTGCATATAAAGAACATTGAAAACGGAGCTCGTATGCGAAAGATATGAATTTTTGAAGTTCGGGGCGCGAACCCCGACACTGTGTCAGAGTTCACGACGTGAACTCAATAATAACGTCTTCTGGAGCCTGACAGACCAAAGTTGCGATGACGCACTTGATGACTACTGAACTCACGACGTGAATTTTGGGATTCACGACGTGAATTTTGGGATTCACGACGTGAATCCAGAAAAATGGCCCTATACATAGAAACCGAAGGGCAGCCGGCCATAGTTGCTAATTCCTTCACTCTCTCACTCCTGATACCCTCTCTAGCCCTCTTGAAGTACCCCCGAAGCCCCGGTATCATCCCGACACCCGAAGCGAGTCCCGAAGCCCCAAAGATCTCGAGAAGAAAAGAGTTTTAAGCCGAAGCTCTGCCCGCGAGAAGCCCGGTTTGTGAAGATATCTCGGTTTCATCAAAGAATACTACTTGAAGAGTCGTAGTGATGTCCGATAATCGTCTTATCAAGTGAGTGTGTAGTTACTTTCACCTTACACATAGATATGAAGTATTTGTTATAAAATACGTGTTATGTGTGTGTGTATATATATATATATATATATATATATATATATATATATATATGTGTGTATATATATCTCTATATATATATATCTATATATATATATATGTGTGTGTGGGTGTGTGTGTATATATATATATTATATATATATTATCTATATATATAGTTTTGTTACTTGCGCTGGATGTTGATGAATGTTTTCTACATGTTTTTAAATGATTTAACTATATATGTAATTTATATCTACACATATGTTGGGTAGAACATGGGTAGATGAAATAGTTGGCGTGTAAGGAAAGATGAGTTTGAGGATGAGACGAAAGATGATATAGATCATGAGATGAAGGTGACAGGTGAAAAATGAGTGAAACCTTTACCCAAACGATGACCCCGTCATTCAGCAGAGTAGGAATGACAACCACGGACGACTCTAGACAGTCCAGTGGAACACTAGCAGGCTCGCAACTTGTAGGTGTTGTGGACTTGATGTTCACCGGTGTACTCTAAAAATCCTGGCAGCTATAGAATTAGTGCTTTATATAAATACAATAGTAGCTATGGATTTAGTACTGTGTAGATGAACCTTGGTAACTATGGATTTAGTGCCTGTTGAGAAAACCTTGGTAACTATGGATTTAGTGTCTGTTGAGAAAACCCTGGCAACGATGGATTTCGTGTCGATTCCTTAGGATAATCCTTAGGAATAAATGAACGAGGAATAACTGATTCTTAGGGTAAATCTTTAAGAAATAAAAGGAGATAATGGGGGTGGATAATTGGGTTGATTGTTTGATGATTGAAATTAATATAATTATTTATTGTGGGTTGAAAACCCTATATGCTCACCAGGCTCCCAAGCCTGACCCACTCAGTTTTATTTGTATTACAGGTAGTGGCGCGAGAGCATAAGTTGGATGAATCATCAAGCTATTTTGTTTATAGGCCTGTAGTTGTGTATAACTGTTGTAAGGCTTATAATGTGTCGTTTATGCTTTTGGTCTGTATCGGAACATGACATCCCGAGATTTTGTTATTTAATGAAATACATTTCTTCAAGAAAAGTTTTGATAGATTCTTATCATATTTTGTTTTGGGAACAAATTCCACAATAGTTTTTCTTTAAACAATTACTCTGATTTTAAAACAAAGCATAAACAAATCGGTCTTTTCTGGCCGTGAAAAATGGGGATGTCACATGACACGTTCACGTTTAATGAAGAATGTCACTCCTACAAGTGATGTACGTGGCACACAAGCTACAACTCCATATTATGTTAAATGGACTAATGGTCGGCCTTTTATCTTTTATTCATACACACACTCCCATTTTAGAAGTTGTAAGAGGTGATTTTTGGATGAGGATCCATGATTAAGGCTTCTACCAGGAGATTGGTGAAGAATCTAGAGCATTAACAAATAGAAGGTGAGTCAAGGTATTCTCCTTCTTATTCTTCTTAAGGCTCTTTAGTTCATCCATGATGGATTGGGTAAGAAATTCTAGAAACGTGTTTGGATGCTATAAAGATTTAGTGTGATGTAATAGTAATTGTCTTAACTATGATTCCAAGCTTTAAGATTTTATGGATAGATCTTTGAATTGAATATTAGGGGTTATAAACCCTAATTGATGAAAGGGTTGGAAACTTGAAATTGAGTTAAGAACTCAATGAATTAATTCATATACAAGTAATATTGAATTAATTCATATATAAGTAATATTGTAGAAGTATGATTAGTTAAATTGATAAAAGTTGTAAATGGAAAAATTGCTATAATCAGTGATTATATTGTGTAAGAAATGGAATTAAGCTCTTAATGGGTTAAGTTATGTTATTAAGAACATTATGTGTTGACTGAATATGAATTGAATGTATTTTGGTTAAAAGGACTCAATTGAAGGACAAAGATTATAATTAGTTTTCACTACCTAAAAAGGAATCAATTGAAAGATAAGGGGTTATAATTAGTTTTCACTAACTAATAAGGTGAGTACATGTGGGTTTTTGTGGGTACATAGCAAAGCAAACTTTTTTATATGAATTTGTTTAATGTCAAGTGTTTTGATACTTAAATCTTTATGTTCTAAGTTTCACGATTTAAAGGGAAATACAAGTAATTTAACATGAAAGTTTTAGCATGCCATATGTTTATTGTTTTAAAGGGAATTGCTTTTCGTTTAGTTATGAAAGTCTTACCATGTCATATGTTTATTATTTTAAAGGGCATTTCTAGTGCTTTAGTTATGAAAGTTTTAGCATGGATACGTTTATTGATTGATGATTGAATTGCTCATGTTTTGAGTTTTATGTGTTATGTTATGAATGCATTCATGGTTTAGGACATGCCCCCATAACAACACGAATAAAACACTCTTTGAATGGTACCTCCTGTCACTAAAATAGTTGTCGAGGGATATAGACTCCTATCAACCGTAATGAGATTAGGGCTCCCTTGGTTACTATGCTTGTGATATTAGTTTTATAATACCAAAAGTTTAAAAGTTCTTATAGATATTTAAAAGTTTTTGTAAAATCATATTTTGATCATAGCCTAATGGTCCATAATCTTCTCTTCTAATAAATGAATCCTCTAGCTGCCACATGTCGTTTTTATAAAGCCCTCTTTTGCCACGTGTCACCTCTATAGCCATTTCATAAATATTTTCCCGCTTATTTGGTATAGCTATAGCTAATCCCACAATCCATTTTAATCGCCATATATCCCAATAAATTAGCAAACCAATTTGAATTTCATTTACATTAGGAAAGAAATTAGGATCGTAATTATATCCAAGATTACAACGACGACTAGGGCTTCCTGTTCATATATACCTCCAACCCATCAACCTCTATTTTAGTGGCATGTAATTGAAGATTCATTTTATTTGTAGCATCAAAATCATGTTCGTATATACCTTCAACCCATCAAACTCAAGTTCAGTCGCAACTATTTGAAGATACGTTTGATTTATGCCAAGGAATTAAAGATTATTCAGCTACAACCATCGATTTCAAGTTAGTTCTTAAAATTCTTCTTCCCTGGCTATTCATATTGTTGTATAGGCTATTCATATTGCTTTGTTTGTTTGCATATGTCATTGTTTGAGTTATTGATGCAACTAACTTGTAAAATTTGTTTCGCCTGCCATGTGTTCAATAAAAAGCCTAAGTGAACCATTAATTTGTAATTTTTTGACAACGATAAATCAATATGCCTCTTCTCTCTCTTCTTAGATATGGTGGTGCCGTCTTAGCATGCTCATTTGCTGGGAGGTTGGATTGAAATGGTTTTTGATAATCATCTATTAGTGTGTATTGGGTGATAATTGTAGGTTTATATATTCTTTTTTTTTTCAGAAAAATGGATGATGGACCCGCTACAGAGGATGAGATTTTTTTTTGGAGAAAGCCCCTCTACTAAAGGTATCTTCCTTGCCTATATGCTAATTGTTGTTAGATAGTATCAAAATGAGACATTGTATTATCAGTTTCCGCATGTCCATCTCTGTCACGAGCACATATAAATAAAGTGAAGCAAATGTAGACAAAGATACAAGTTGTTATAGAATGATGTCCTACATATTAGTTGGTTATCAATTGTAACTAATACACAATTCGTCATAAATATATGAAAATGTTGTTTCCTATTTTAGGTATTGATGAAGGTAATCTAAGAGATCGCCAATAACATACTTAAATATGATTTATTACTATCTTAATGAGGAACAATTTTAGTTGTATCATTCATTCATCATATAAACCAAGCAAAATTGAATTTGTGAACACAGGCATTTGATGCTTTGGTTTTGATTCTTGCATTATTCATTCATAATATATATCTTCAATTTTTCTTACCCATTTGTTGTTTTTTTGCCAACAGGTTGAGAGTCATTTCATTGGCAGTTCTTTCTTTTTGCATTATCTTGGTGGTTATAAATGTGTAAGTGATTAACATAATAATCATGTTAATGATTATAGATTCATTTTAGTGGTTTATACATATGAAGTAATTTATCTTTTACACGTAACAGAAATATACTTACATTTTTTACCCGTAATAACAGTGAAATGTAAGTACATTGATATTATTGGTCAAAATAAAATATTGTTGCTTTTATCAGTAAACAAACTAAGCAAGTTTTTAATGTGTAAAAAGTATAAGTACAATACTATTGTCGTAATGGGCTTATACAAGTAGTGAAAGTTGCCTATCATGTGAATGTTTTTAATGCATCTTTAACTTCAGTTTTTACTAGACTTTGCTTTTAACTTGGCTTTCAGGTTGGCACATGTGAAGAATAAGGAGTATATGTCATTCCTGGTGTGAATCTTGAGGTTAATTAGGATGTTTTATGGTTTTTAATATATATGTTTTTGGTCCGTGTTTAGATTAATTATGAAATAAATAATATATTGTTTTGAATGTTCATTTTCATCTTCGTTCATAAAATAGTTTTGATTTTTTTTAGTAAATGATATAGACCACAACTCTTAGCATGAGTTGCTTTTAATTTGCATTACTTTTTTTAATATAAATATACGTTTATATGTAGAAGTGAGACCACATTTGGAAGAATATTATATTTGGTTTCGATAGGAGTAAATTAGTTTGAGGATTTGGAGTGTGCCACAAATGTTTCACATATCAAATGTGACAAAATAAAAAAAAAACAATAAAGTATGTATGATTGTGTATACGCATATAAATAGGTGTCTAATGTCCATTTTTTCGATTTAATGTCCATTCTTATTTAGATCACCAATTTGAAAATGATGAACTTTTTGTTCACTTTAGACATGTTCCAAAAGAGACTATTTGCCAACACTAACTCATTTTACAATTTAAACTATTTTTTTGAGTTTCCTAGACCATCACTTAATAATTTTAAAATATGTATTTTCATAAAACAATCGTAATATTGTGTCAATAATAGCAGAATCAATGTCAGTAGTGGTGTAATTATAAGAAAGGCCATATCTTTGAGAGGAAATTAATTGTTGAATTTTAACTATTCATTAAACGAATAATATTCATCATCTGTCGAGAAGACACTAATTTCTGTAAACAAAGTTAACTATACTCATTTTTGTAATTTTATTTTATAAGCTATCATTTATATAAATTTGGTGTAATAAGGTTCATTTATGTTAATTTATTTAAACACATCGTTTATGTATTATATTTAAACACAAACCATTTACTTTCTATGTAAAGAGCAGAAAATGATTGATGTTGTTGATTTTGGATAAGGATGTTAATTTGACATATAAAACTTCCAATGTTATATAAAAATAAGTCTTTCAAAATATATGTTAAAATATTATGTTTATTTTACTTTTCACATTAATTATATATTAATTATCAATTGTATAATTAAATAATTATTTATTTTATTATATTTTTTTAACAACCGTGATTTCCACGGGTTATAACATAATAGGCACCCATGGTACCATAATAATATGTTGTGATCAGTACATGGTCCATAAGTAGTAAGTACGGTGAATTCCTAAAAGAATAAAATCTCAAATCGTTTGTAAGTTTTGCAAACAAGCAATAAATTTAAATTTTTGAATGATATAATGATTCTCTTGCCATTTTCTGACGCAATATTGGGCAAATTTAACATGTATGATTTCGAACACAAAGTTGCATGACATATTTCATATCTATTCCGATTTCTAGTAAGATTTTTTCCATGATCTCATCATAAGTCCTCTTCAAAGACATAAATACTTGCTAAACCAACTCATTTTAGATCACCCTCTTCTGAAAGCAATCATTATTCGCATATCATTTAACTTGAATATCCACCGCTGTCGAATAGAATATGCCTTCAGAATCGCCATGTGCTGGCTGTTGACCATTTCGAGTTTAACTCAGGCAAGAAATTAACTACAAAAACCGAAACTTTACGACAAAAAGCATCACCAATCTCAGCTGTACATATCCACGTAGACTGTGTGTGTGTTTGTGTGTGTATTTTTCCATTTCGTTTTATCAAATCAAGTGTGTCAATTTGATTGTTGCAGCCGTCATCAACAACCCATCTGAAGATCCTTTCTCTTTCACTAAGGTAAACCCTAAAATCCAAAATCTAAAACTCAGAAGTCTTGTAATTTACGCTTTTGAATTCTTTATTGGAATGGATATAGACATATGATGATATGGGTATTATAAAGCTTCGATCTTTTTTCAGAAATGGTGTTGAAGAGAGTTGTGGGGTTGATGATGGGGTGTTTAGGAATGAGTTGTTTGCGAATATCAGATCAACCAACAAGACCAGTAACTTCAGAGTGTGATTCACCTACTTCATCAGATATTATCGATTCAATTGATCCGAAAAACGAAAAGTCATCGTCTTCTTCATCAGGTAGAATCAAACTCAGTGATGGAAGATACTTAGCTTACAAAGAACGAGGAGTCCCGAAGAATGAATCGACTTACAGAGTCGTTATTGTTCATGGATTCGCTAGCAACAAAGAGATGAACTTCATGGCTACCCAAGTACATATTGATAAACCCCTTTTCGTTTTCAATATTGTGTGTGTAGAATGTAGATCTGTGTGTATTTTTAACAGTTTTTGTATCGAAATTGATACCCAGATGTCGTAAATTTCAGAAACTAATGGGTGAATTGGGGATTTATCTTGTACAATTCGATAGAGCTGGATATGGAGATAGCGACCCAAATCCAAAGCGTTCGTTAAAGAGTGAATCATCAGATATTCAAGAACTTGCAGACCAATTACAGCTTGGATCTAAATTCTATCTCATTGGTGTCTCGATTGGATCATATCCCACATGGAGTTGCATCAAGAACATTCCAGAAAGGTCGCAATCTGAGAAGAATTCGAAGTTGATTTGAATGTTGTGTAAATTTATTACTGAAATGGTGTATCATGATGCAGGTTAGCCGGAGTTGTTATGGTGGTTCCGTTTGTTAATTACAGATGGCCGTCGCTTCCTCGTGATCTGATACAAGATGATTACCGGAAAAAGCTTTCACAGTGGGCGGTTTGGGTGGCGCGTCACACGCCGGGGTTGTTACACTGGTGGTTGACTCAGAAAATGTTCCCGTCTTCTTCTGTTCTTGATCGGAACCCTAAATTTTTCAGCAATAAAGATTTGGAAGTTCTTAAAAACACTCCTGGGTATCAATTGCTCTGTAAGGTAAGAAGTAATAGCCTCTCGTTTTTTAATTTCAAGATTTAGTTAACAAAAAAAAAAAAAAAAAAAAAAAAAAAAAAAAAAAACAAGCAAACAGAAAAATAATCATTGATCTTGAGTTGAACTCGTCTTTAATTTTCATGAGTTAATTAACGAAAAAAAAAAACAGAAAGAAAAATGATTATTGATTTTGGGTTTACCTTGTCTTTAAATTCCTAGATTTGACTAACAAAAAAAAATTGACCATTGATCTTGAATTTAACTCGTGTTTTTTAAGATGCAAATGTCTTGAATTTAACTCGTGTTTTTTAAGATGCAAATTTAACTCGTGTTTAGATTTCAAAATTTAAATTTAACTCGTGTTTAGATTTCAAAATTTAATTAACAAAAAAACAGAAAAAATGACCATTGATCTTGAATTTGATCGGTCTTAAAAGTTTAAGATTTAATCAATAAAAACAACTCAGAAAAAAATATAATCATTGATCTCGAATATGACTCTTTATATTTGAAGATTTATACCTTGACGGATCAACCGTTGGCCTAAAGCTAAATATATAAAATGACATAAAAATACATTTAGAATATTAAATGTTTTATAGTTAATAAAAATTTCAATAAATTCTTGAAACCTTAGTCTAAGTAAATAAGTAAATTTTTTAATAAGCTATTTTAAAATTTTTAAACCATAACAAGGTAAAAATATCAAAAAATAAGCTCACTTTAGATAACATAAAAAAAACTGACCATTAATCTTAAATTTCGATCGTCTTTATATTTCAAATTTTAATTAACATAAACTACACATGGACAAAAAACACCATTGATCTTGAATTAACTCATATAAATTTCAAGATTCAATCAACAAAAAAAAAAATTGATCTTTGATCTTGAATTTAACAGAGCAAACTGAAGGAAGAACCGATATTTGATAGTCTTCGAAAGGATTTCATTGTGGCATTTGGGAAATGGGATTTTGATCCGTTGAATATGATCAATCCATTTGGTGAAAATCAATGTCGTCTTCATATATGGCAAGGTATGAAGATAAAGTTGTGCCTGTTGAACTACAAAGGTATGTTTGGAAAAGGTTGCCATGGATCAAGTATCATGAAGTTCATGATGGTGGCCATTTGCTTGTGTATGATAGTGATGTATGTGAAGCTATGTTGAGGTCTCTTTTGATTGGTGAAGATACTCCATTGTATAAACCTAAATTAGATTCAACTAATGATTCTTGAAGTAGATTAGATGATTGTTTAAGAAATGTATCATATGTTTGATTTGATTTTGTTTGTTTGATGTAATTCTTGCGTTCTTCCTGGTATAACTTAGATTCAAAAAGTGGCATTGAACAATTGTCTAGGGATTGATATTGTAAATATGAAAAAGAATCTTGAACATGACCCATATAGATACGAACACTTTGCTTTTTCGGTACAAGGTGTGCTTTGTTTCTTCTTCTTTAATACTCGTGCTCCTTTTTCTTGTTACGTAATCAAGAAAAGCAACGAAACCTTGGTCATTGTTTTTACCTAATTTTTGAGCCAATTTCTTAATTCTTGAATAGGCTTTCGCAAATTCATAACTATATGAATTGGTGGTAAAGGCATCTAATAGAGTCTAATACGTAATGGACCACAACACTCAACCACTCAACCGATGACATTACATGAAAGAAATAGAAACGGAAAATTGAATCTTGAGGGGGGACAAGACGTTCCTTATAAGAATGTGGATGAATACCCTTTAAGCCATGTTTTAAAGCCGTGAACTTGTAATTTTTAATGTTTTTGTATCGGATTTCCCATTTCTTTGGAGTAAATGTACAAAGAATAAAGTACATGGGTTGCACAATGAAAGTTAAGCAACATGCCTATCTAATGTAAAACATAACACCTAATGTACAACATAAAATACATGTTAATACGCCCCACATTTAAACGGGAGATTGAGAACACTTAAGTTGTCTCTAGAAACCATAAAGAGAGACGATGGAAGGCCCTTTGTGAAGATGTCGCCATCACGATGGCTTGATGGGACATGAAGGAGGCAAATCTGATCGTGACAACTTTATCGTATACAAAGTATATATCAATCTTTATGTGTTTCGTTGGTGTTGTATGTGATTGTTGGAGAGATAGACCCCACTAATGTTGTCATAATAAATGTTGGTTGCTTTACCGAGAGGAGAGTGAACCTATCTAAACAAGTTGAAAATCCAACATTTTTCGGTTACGACATTTGCACACCACTACTACACAACAACCACTCAAAGACTGACGAGATGCGGGACCCTCCCCCAGTCAGCATCTGATTATGCAACGAGACTGGTGGTAGTCGAGGCATGAAGCTGTAAGCTGAAGTACAAGGTCACCCAAACACAACGCATAATGAAAGCGAGATTCGTGTAGATCGCCATATTTGCCCGTTCAATAATGTATGTGGCATATATATGTGTTCTGATGGGTTTTGAGCATTCTAACACTCCTATGGTGTACATGCAACCCTAGAAACCTTGGATCTATGTTTTACTAAGATACATGCAAATTTGATTTTTTCAAGGTTCTTATCCTAACTAGCATGACCTGGGGAACTTGAAACATAAAAGCTAGTAGAAGAACATACCTTTCTTGTTGCTTGGATTCCTTAAGAACTTTGTGAGCCTAGCACCCCAAATGTGATGCCTCAAATGTTTCACACAACACCACAACTCTTGGAATAACTTTGAGAGAAGTACACTATCACTCAAAAACGACTAGCCCTCCTTGTTCTTCACTTAGTGCCGATTTTGCTAGCCTATGGGGTCTTTATATAGTGTGTCACAAGTAGGGTTACACCATGTAAACCCTAATTGACATGGCTTTTCATTTCCTCCATGATCCATGGGTTTTAGCCCAATCCAATAACCATGGATCATTAGCCCACTATATAAGAATGAATGATTTACACAATCAACCCCATATATTTAATTAGTCTCTTTTTTATCACAAAACTAATTCCAAATTAATTCTTGTTCAATACTAATTAAATAATATGATTTCATATTAATATATTATAACTTATAATATATTAACAAATCATAAGTGTCCTTCTTCTCATTTTGTCTATCCAATTATCATGATTCCATGCAATCCAAATGGACCATGCCAACCAGGTCAAGTACATACCAGAAATAGTTATGGGCTTAGACACCTTATCCAACAGTCTCCCACTTGGATAAGTATAATAACTATAACTGCAAGTATGACTTCAGGAACCGATCAGCAATCGTAGCTCTTTCAAAGTCTCGCAGAACTAAGATGACCTGCCATTTAAGATAAGTGATCATATAATCCTCTGCTCTCAAGATATCAGCCGAACAAATACATGGAACAATGTCGTACTTATTGTCCAGCAGTTTGTTTCCCGATTTCCGATTTATTTTGATAGAACTTAATCGAACACATCAATTTAGTTCTGACCGGGCCCGGTACATAGGTCAAAACAAAATCATCGAGGGGCCCATATATCGCTTCTAATCCTCCAAGGACTAGAAGAAACAGATAAACTTCGACTCATATGCTTGTACTAACTACTTGTTGAATCATACACAAAAGCACGTTTTATAACATCAAGTTACCAATGCGTTTTCGTACAATCAATGTATAACCAACTCATAGTCAACACAACTCATATCTCTAGGTTGAAGACTTATATGATATTACCGTCTCACGGTCACTCGAGATAAATCCATGAAGTGATACAAGTGAGCGTGGGTTAATCCAATACTACTCGAATCACTATTCCAGGAGTTACTCATGAACACTGCAGCCCCTTTGTCCCAGACAAACTGCAGAGCCATTCATGACAGTCTTGCCTCATTACCTACTTCCAAAGTATGATTGATTATGGATGGTTTGAATAATATGATATACCATAACATAATTATTCTGGAAGTCAAAACATGCAAAAATTGAAATGATAGTAAACGATTGACAGAAGATAGTAACACTTTACTTATAAATAAATAACAACTTTTATTTATGATCAAATGTCAATTACACTTTACAAGTTCAAAGCTATCTAATTTCTAAACTAATATCATCATTTAGCCAATGCGCCTCGCATGCTGAAGATGCTTAACCCTACTCAATCCCTTCGGGAGGGGATCTGTTGGGTTCTCATCCTGATGATACCCTCTTGCCACGAGGAGTCCTTCTTCTATTCTATGATGTCATGAAATGGTATTTTCTGTCGACGTGTCTGGATCTCCCGTGATCCCTTAGTTCCTTGGCTAAGGCAACTGTACTTTCACTATCACAGACCATAGGCTCATTTATAGCTGGTACTACTCCAAGGTCTCCAATGAAGTTCTTCAGCCATATCGCCTCCTTTGCTGCCTCGCTTGCTGCTATGTACCCTGATTCGCAAGTTGAATCAGCCACTGTCTCCTGCTTGGAACTTTTCCAAGTAATTGCTCCTCCATTTAAGGTAAAGACCCAGCCTGACTGAGAGCGGAAATTATCCCTATCAGTCTGGAAGCTAGCATCACTATACCCTACTACTCTCAAGTCATCACTCCCACCGAGGGTAAGGACCCAGTCCTTAGTCCTCCGCAGGTACTTGAGAATGTTCTTTACCGCAGTCCAGTGAGCCTTGCCAGGGTTCCCCTAATATCTGCTGACCATGCTCAAAGAAAAGGCCACATCAGGAAGAGTACAAGTCATAGCATACATGATTGAGCCTACAGCGGAAGCATATGGTACTCGACTCATCTCAGCTATCTCAACCTCTGTACTCAGGCTCTGAGTCTTACTCAGTCTGGCGTTATCTGGATCAGTAACTCTCCTTTCTTGGAATCCTGCATGATGAACCTATTCAGCACCTTATCCAAGTAGGTGCTTTGACTAAGTCCAATTAGTCTCTTACTCCTGTCTCTCAAAATCCTTATCCCTAGGATATAGGCAGCTTCTCCAAGGTCCTTCATAGCGAAACACTTCCCAAGCTAGGACTTCACCTCCTGCAGAGTTGGGATGTCATTTCCTATGAGTAGTATGTCATCCACATACAATACCAAAAAGCTAACTATACTCCCACTAGCCTTGACATATACACAGGACTCATCTTCGCTCCTCGAAAAACCAAACTCTTTGACTTTCTCATCGAAACAAAGATTCCATCTGCGAGGTGCTTGTTTCAATCCATAGATGGATTTCTCAAGCTTACACGCTCTATTAGGGTACTCTGAACTGACAAAACCCTCTGCCTGACTCATGTAAACATCCTCAGCCAACTTTCCATTAAGGAAAGCGGTTTTGATATACATTTGACATATTTCATAGTCATGAAATGCAGCAATGGCTAGCATAACCCTAATAGACTTAATATTCGCTACTGGTGAAAAGGTCTCATCATAGTCAACTCCCGGAGTTTGAGAAAAGCCTTTTGCAACCAGTCGCGCCTTATAAGTGTGTACATTCCCATCCATGTCGGTCTTCTTCTTGAAGATCCATTTGCACCCAACTATCTTACGACCTAGTACATTGTCAACCAAGTTCCAAACTTGATTGTCTTACATGAACTGTATCTCGCTGTCCATAGCCTCTTTCCATTTAGCAGACTTGGGGCCTGCCATGGCTTCCGTGTAGCTATTAGGTTCATCCAAACTTACCAGTGTACTATCACTAATAAGTGTATCACCTTCCGCAGTAATATGGAAACCATAGTAATGCTCAGGTGCATTCCTAACTCTAGTGGAACGCCTCAGAGGTACAGACTCGTCAGTTGGATCAACATGAGTTTCCTCCTCAGGTTGATTGCTAGGGTTTGAGGTTCCTTCACCACTTGACTATTGAATTTCTTCAAGGTCAATTTGCCTCCCACTGTTTCCTTGGCTTATAAACTCTTTCTCGCGAAAGACCCCTCTCCTTGCCACAAATACCACATTATCACTGGGTCTAGAGAAGAGGTAACCAAAGGATTTATGTGGGTAGCCGATGAAAATAAACTGCTCACTTTGAAGTTCGAGCTTATCGTAAGTCTCGCGCCTCACGAAAGCCTCGCAACCCCAAATCTTGATGTGGTCCAAATTGGTAACTTTCCCAGTCCACATCACGTGAGGTGTTTTGGCAACCTTTTTGGTAGGGACTAGATTAAGGATATGGGCGGCAGTCTCTAAGGCATACCCCCAAAATGAGATCGATAGCAAAGCTCGACTCATCATCGAACGAACCATGTCTAACAAGGTTCGATTACGCCTCTCAGCCACACCATTAAGTTGTGGTGTTCTGGGAGGTGTTAATTGTGAGACAATCCCACATTCCTTAAGATAGTCAAGGACCTCTATATACTAAGATACTCACCACCTCGATCGGATCGAAGCATCTTAATGTTCCTGCCCACTGATTCTTCCACTCCTGTTTAAACTCTTTGAAACTTTTC